TTCACCTGCCCCCGGACCCCTGCAACACACCACACACACACACACACACACACACACACACACACACACACACACAATGCACAACCTGACACCTTCTGGGACCCTGAGCCTCTCTCATGACCAATGGAAAGATGACTACCATGAGCAACACCCCCCTCTAGTTGTAGAAGTGGGGTATTCTGCTGGATCTGAATCTTCACAATTGTAAATGACAAACAGCTTTAATCTCTACAGTTAGAAAAGGTAGAAAGGAGAAGAAGTCCAGGTTTGCTCTAGTCTTATACAGTCTGAAGAACTCCTGCCCAAAGAAAGAAAAGCTGCACTTTCACTGTTACGGTTATTGAAGATAAGATGTAAGAAGTAAAAAATAAGTAAGTTAAAAGTAAAAAAAAACAAAAACATATTGCTTTGATAGAAAAAAATCTCAAAAGTTTCATTGAAGTGAAGGCAGGATTGGACTGACCTGCTGATCCCTCTGGTTTCTCTGCTCCAGCTGACTGAGTGTGGTCTGCCGACTCTCCACCGGGGGGCGCCAGCTGCACACAGAGCGGCTCTCAGCATCAGTGTGCGTTTTACTATCAGCTGTATTAACATGAGTGTGTGCGTGCGTGACACAGCTTTCACTTGAGTCATAGTCATGATTCCACTGTAAGTCTTTACGTGGACGATATGAAATCCTCAGCTTCATTCACTGACTAATTACTGAATATTCTTATTGTCATCACGTGATCATCTGTGTGTGAAATGTACAAAACATTAATGAATAGTTTCTGAACCATTAGTCCGTATACAAAGAATAAGTAACTATATAATAATTTCAATTAAATGTATTTTTGTATAGCCCATAATCACAACAGCAGGAAATAATAATAACAAACACATAGGACCGAATAATAATATTAAATGTAAATAATATATTAAACACCAAAATGTTCACGCTCTTGCAGTCTTGGCCCATAACGTTTTGAAGAGTTATGTTCAGATTTGATTATGTTTTTGTGGAAAGACTTATTTGCCTGTACAGTAGTATTATTATTGTCATGTTTTGGCTCTTAAGTGAGTCATTTCTTAAACTTATCTGTTGAAAAAGCAAAAGGACCAGAAACACTTTCTCGGTATGTACTGCATGTGTGTTGTAGAAGTCCATGTGATCATATAGTGTCTTCCCCTTTCTCCGGCCCCTGTCAACAGCTGTGCTCACCTTGCTCGGGTCATGATGTCGCACTGCTCCGTTGGTCTTGTTTCCACTCTCTGAGCTCTGGCCGCTGCCTGCGCTGCGACTGCTGCCCACCGACTCCCCACTGCCCACACTGCTGCGGTCTCCTGCACACACACTCCATAAGCACAGGGACAAACCCCCGGAGCCCCTGTGGTCAGTCCAGTCTGACCACACGAGTCCAACACGATACAGGCACAATCCGCAGAGACGTCAGAGAAATACAACCCGAAACACTCATGGATTCAATTCAATTCATTTTTGTGGTTATCTCTGAGGACTTTACAAAGCTGTCTATTCCCCAACACAGATCAGAGAATCACACACAGGAAATGCAAGGTTAAAAAGCTCATAGCCATTGGTGTCCATATATGGTAATAAATGTCCATCCATCCATCTTCTTCCCCTTACTCCATTTCTGGGTCAGAGGGTGGTGGTTAGAGCTGCATCTAATTCTCAGAGCACCAGCCCCTCACTGATCCTCTTGCAGGTGGTGAGTCCACAGGAGCCTTTCAGCAGGGGCTTCAGGCAAAGTGGGGTTACGTGTGTTACTCAAGGACACAACGACAGCAGACATCAGTGGGAGTCCATGAAGGTAGTTGAATATTGATTGTCCTGGATCGAATTTGTAAAGACAGACCTTGCCTGGTCTTAGCCACCTGTATCATTTCCTACATGTACGTCTGGGTCTGATCCTAGTGGCTGCAGTTTCCTCGGTTGAATCCCCTCCGACCAATCAGCGAGTGGGGGAGGCGGGTGTTGTAGGTCGGTGTCGGTGACGTCAAGAGTTTGCGCCGAATTTGCAGGTTGTAGTTTGGAAATGGCGACGAATGCGATAAAGTAATTCATTCTGGTTCGGCTCCAAATATGAAGAAATTTAAGCCAGAGCAAGAGGAATGTTTAGCAAATGTCATTGCTGCAAAGATGTTGTGGCTCAACTTCCCACGGGCTACGTTAGTGGCAAAGGAGATGGCTAAAGCTAGGCTAAATGCTAACTGGGCGCTTTACATATATGTAAACTGAGATCCAATCGTTTCAATCTGCAAAAGGAGTTAACCCCTCCCACCTGTTAACCGAATGGAACAAATAGTACAAAATGAAATTAGTACGCTGGTAGGGTAAGACCAGGCAGGCAGGTAATGTGCAACTTCAGGACTGATAATTCCAGGATTTTCAAAGTCACAAAACCATTTCAGAGTTTGGAAAGAAACTAAAAGAATAGACATTTGTGTGAGGTGGTCATCCCAACACCATTAAAACTCAAATATTATTGTCAGGGTAGATCACACTGGTAAATATTGGATCACACTGGGTTTCAAGCATGTTTAGTGGGAGCTTGCACAGACTTGACCCTGTATCCTGTGGAGAGAGAACTACAGCACCATGAGGCGTTAGATCGATCACTCGAGGACACCACAGTGGCTGAGCATGTGGCTCCAGAAGTCAGAAAGTCAATATTTATCACATTGGACTTAATGATTGTGTAAGATCTCAGTCCTACAGGGATTATTCAAAACAAAGGAAGGTTGCTCACCCATCATCGGTACTTCAATTAGCAGGTTTTCCCAACGTTTTGTTCTTAATCCAAAAAACTTTCTCCAGGTCTCTGTATAGTACTGTTACCCTTATACTCTTCCTTTGGGGCGACAGTGGCTCAGTTGGTAGAGCATTGGCCTTTGAGCCTGTAAGTCATGAGTTCAAGGCCACCGCGAGACCTTCTCCATCGACACCCAATGCTGTCGTTGTGTCTTTGGGCAAGACACTTTACCCACTTTGCCCATAAGGAGCGCGGAAGTATTGTACGCATGCCTTGATGTGTATTCATTGAACTGAAACTTCCCCACAGTGGGACTGATAAAGGACAATCTTCTTCTGCTCTTTACCCTTTAATGAGTTTGGTGGATCACTTTTTGAGTCACTCTATCTACTTGAAGCTTGGAACAGAAATCTACCTCATTGGGCCATATCTATCAATGGGTTTTAGGCACGTTTACTAAAGGCCTATGATTAAAAAACCCATACATCTTAGACAATCCAAAAGAGCAAAATTGACAATGCTTTCATCAAGGAGCGAACATTAGAAGGGTTAAAATGATTTGTTGCATTGTGTCTTGTGCGACATGAGGTCAAAATAAAGCTGTCTTGTTGAAAACTTTGCACAAATAACAAGGTTAGAATTGCATACACTTCCTTACTAATTTCAAACAGCTTGCGTAGCGTTAGCATTGTCTTTCTCGTTACCATTTTCCATTCTCTGCCAGGTCTTTTTATGAGAGGAAAGGTTGATAAAGAATTTAAAAAGTTCAGGTGAGGAATCTTTATGTTTTTTCATACAAAGAATTTTCTTTTGAGAAAGTTCCTTGGATTAAGAACGAAACCTCGGGAAAACCTGCTGAAGTCCAGATGATGGGAGAGCAACCTCCATTTGTCAGACTAAATGGTTGAAGGTTTTGGTGATATTGTTGTCGGACATCTAGAACTCGCCATGCTCATCCTCTGCTGCGTTAGGCTTGCGGCTTTAGTGTAGTTGGGTAAGGGTCTGGAGCTGGTCAAAGGGTCCATGGGGTCTGGAGGGGAGGAGGAGGGGGCCACACGGGCTTACCAGAGGGAGCCCTCCTGAGCAGCCACACGTCCTGGGGGGGACTAGCACACAGACGACCACCTACGCACAGGACAGGGATGTGTGCATGGACAGCTACACACGCACTGCTGGCATTCTTATGTTAAGCATGCAAAAGTGAAGTATGGGACTTGACCAAATTAAGCAATCGACATTGCATTGGCGCGGTGTAAAAGGGAAAAAGTCTCCTGCTTGTCTCCAAGAACTTCATAATACTGTACAGTTTATTTACCTGTGCTGCCACGTCAACTTTTTGTCCATATTAAGGAGATGTATAATAATGCAGCAGCTTATGTCACCCTCATGTCTGCATTATCCTGATGTTTTTGTAAATAAAATGAGTTCCAATAAGAACCGACCACAGTAAAATTTTCAGCACACATTTACAAGCCTGAAGGGACAGGCCGCTCCAGATTGGCATTTTGAGGTTGCTACAAGATATTTGCTTCAAACATGAACAAGTTACAGATGGTGAGAGATGGGTGTATACCTGATGGGTCACATGCGCCTGGGTACAGCTGCTCGGGCTGGGGGGCTCTCGGGGAGGGCAGGGAGGCGTGACGGGACAGTGTGGCCCCTGAACACATGCATGAGTGGAGCACAGAGCTGGTGAGCATGCATGTGTGGGAGGACGAGGTGCAACTGTCTGGTTACTATTGTAACCTCATTACAAGCTAAACAAAAAATACTAGTGTTACAGACAAAAAGTTTCAGGGTTCCACTGTATCCTTGCCTGGGGGGTTGCAGAGGCAAAGACTCAGAACTGGGAATACGGAATACCTTGAGATTTTGCTCAATCTCCATTACGTACTTCACTTTGGAGGCAGAGGCTGAAGACCTTGGGACAGAAACCTCCAGCGTCTCCATGACTGAAGTCACTGATGTTAGCGGCCTCCTCAAGGCAAGGACCCGGGAGTGGATGAGATCTGTCCTGATTGTCTTAAGTCTGTGTTTTGGGACTGTCTTGTTCTGTGTGTTCTTGGGGCATGTCCCACTAGAAGGAGTCCCCGGGGAAGACCCAGGACCCGCTGGAGGGACCACTATATCTCTCAGCTGGCCTGGGAAGTCCGCTGGGTGCTCCCGGATGAACTGGAGAAGGGAGTATAAGTCGTCTCTGCTCAGACTGCTCTCATAAGCATTGAAAGTTCCTTATGTCTTCTTTATGTTTAAGACATAGAAGGCTCTTTTAATATGACAGATGTAAATAAGAGGATACAGCTTTATTGACTGACATGTTAGAGGTATGCTGCGTTACCTCTGACAAACCTTCTAAGCCTCAGACTGCTGCCTCTGCAACCCAGCAACGGATATAGTGGAAGAAATGGAGGGATTCAGGGTCTTTCTATCAACAACATTGGGAATTACAACCACTGTTCAAGCCAATTACAACATGTTTTATTTCTTTGTTTATTTTGGCCCTGACACGTGATCCTGATGAGATGAGAACTGAATGAAGGCACACAGCTGTTACGAACGTTCAATTTAGAGGCAGAAGAAGCCGCTCTGTCCATGACGCCATAGTCCGAAGATTTTTTTATTTATTTTTTGATTATGGACAAAGCACAACTGACATTAGTCTATGACAGAAAAGATGTAGTCCTATAGTCCCTGGACAGTTTCATGTTTCACTTAAGAAAGTACAGGAAAATATAAAAATCAGAAACATAAATAGAAATTCTGTAAAATCAATCCCACTCCACAAGTAATTATCACACATTTCAGAGTCACTCAAAGCATACAGGTTAATTGGGAGCAACTGCAATGTTTGAAAATACTTATACATACGTTTTCCATGTATGACGCATTCACTTCATAATAGGGATGCACCAATACCGATACCATAGGCTTGAAATCATACTTGTACTCATACCCTCGGACTTGATCTGGGCAACCGATACCCACATTTTCTATTTACATTAGCGTAGCACAATGCAGCACTCGTATTGGTATTCGGTATCGGAAAGTACTCAAATGAAATTGTCTGGAGTTTGTCAGAAAAAAGAGAGAGAGGTACTTGATTTGAAAAAAACGATCCAAGCTCCCTCCCCCTTCCTTTCTGATTGGTCTACACCTACGTTTCCGTAACACATTTAAATGTTAACCGGAGAACACATTATATATATACATTATTAATACACATGCGCGGATGTTTTCAGAATTATTTGTTAACATTTTCATGACAAAAATAATGTTTTAATGCACGAAAAAAGCGATCACGGTAAGGGACACATCTGCAGAGGATCTGATTATGGATATAGGTTCAGTATATAAATGATTATGGATATAGGTTCAGTATATAAATGAATGAATGAATGAATAATTTTATTTCAAGCAAGCAAGCAAGCATGAGCATGACACAATGTCACAATAACGAAACTTAAATTCATAAACGTTATAGTAAACAATATATATTAACACAGATTACATTATTTATTTATTATTATCATTATTTTTTTCCTTAACAATAAAGTAATGCTCTTTGCTTGAAAGGGAGTGAGAAGAAGTGAAACACTTGTTTACTCCCACCCCCAACTACAAAATAAAACTAAATACTGGATACCGTCCTGTACAACATAAAGTTACAACAAAGTTTTACATTATACTCTGTCTGTCAGATTAATACATAAACACGTGCAAATGCACACATACATACGCACATATCTTTAAATATACCTGAGTACACGTACATATATACATACACACACATCCATATACATGTACACATATATATATACTAACACGCACAATCGACACACATATAAAGCTTGTATAAGACAATAAAATATACCTATATTCTCTTAGTCTACTTTTGTTTTTAAGTTGGAACCTAACACTATTTAGAACGTTTGATCTAATTTGTATCTCATTAATATAATTTCTTTGTATTTAGATTTGAATTTCCAAAGTACTGTGGACTGTTTGAGGTCGTCCCCCAAACCATTCCAGAGCCGGACCCCACGTACCGACACACACATACTCTTCCGTGTCGTTCTCACGGCTGGAACTTTAAAGATATTAGAACCCCTTAAATTGTGTTTTCCCTGTCTTATTTGAAAGAGTAATTGAATTTTTTTTGGCAGATTATTTTTACTTGCTTTGTACAATAACTGTGCTGTATAAAACTCAACCAAGTCATAGAATTTTAACTGTCTGGACTGCAGGAACAGTATGTTGGTGTGGTCATAGTAGCCGGCTCTATGAATGGTTCTTATTGCACGTTTTTGGAGTTTCCAGAGCGATTGTAGAGATGTATTGTAATTGTTACCCCAGACTTCAATTCCGTAAATTAGGTAAGGTAGAACAAGGGAACAATACAATAAATCAAGGGCTTTATGGTTTAAAACATATTTTGTTCTATATAGCAAGGATATATTCTTGGAAATCTTGTTTTGTATATATTTGATGTGTGACTTCCAATCTAGTTTACTGTCAATCATCATTCCTAAAAATTTTATTTCAGACACTTTTTGAATTGTTGTTCCTTCTATTTTTACTATGAGTTCTGATTCTCTATGATTCCCGAAAAAAATTACTTTAGTTTTCTCCAAGTTAAGAGATAACTTATTCGTATCCATCCATATTTTGATTTTCTTTAGTTCGTCATTTACTATATTAATTAGAGTGTTTAAATGGTCATGACTATAAAATATGTTAGTATCATCAGCAAATAAAATCATTTTCAGTATATTGGATACTTGAAACAAATCATTAATATACAGAACAAATAGTTTTGGCCCCAAAATAGATCCCTGTGGAACTCCACAAGCAATGCCTCTACGCTCTGATTCAATATCACCCATCCTCACAAACTGTGTTCTCTCTGATAGGTAGCTCTTGATCCAATTCCATGACACCCCCTTAATACCATACCTTTCTAATTTTTTAAGTAAAATTGAATGATTGATAGTGTCAAAAGCTTTTTTTAAGTCTATAAAGATTCCAACTGCATGTCTCTTTTTGTCTAAAGCGCTGGTGATTTCTTCAACCGCTTCAAGAATTGCCATTGTTGTGGATCTGTTTGATCTGAAACCGTATTGTCCTTCATTTAAAATGTCACATGTATCTAAAAAACTTTCTAGGCGCTTATTAAACAGTTTTTCAAGAATTTTGGAAAATTGAGGGAGCAGAGAAATGGGTCTGTAGTTGGTGAAGATGTGCTTATCTCCATTTTTGAATAGAGGTATAACTTTGGCTGTTTTCATATTTTTGGGAAATGTTCCAGTCTGAAATGAAAGATTACAAATGTGGGTCAAAGGCTTTTCGATACCTTCAATTACTTTTTTTATAATAAACATATCTATACCATAACAATCAGTAGATGTCTTGCTTTTAAAACTATTGACAACATTTTTTATTTCAACCCCACTCACATCAGCGAGAAACATGGTTTTGTGTTTCTTTGAATCAGATTAGATCAACAACTTTGTTGTGTTCAGGGATTTTTTCTGCCAGCTCTGGGCCTATGCCTACAAAAAAATTATTAAACTTATTGGCAAAGTTGTGCATGTTTGTGACAGTGGTTCTCCCCTCAAGGAAATAATTTGGATATGGGTCCTTCTTAGTTTCCCTTTTTAATATCTTATTTAGTACGCTCCAAATACCTTTAATATTATTTTTATTTTCATTCAAAACATTAGTGTAATATTCTTTCTGACACGTTCTAATTATGTTTGTTAATTTATTTTTGTATTGTTTGTATCGGCTTTCAGCCTCTTCTGTTCTTAATTTGATTAATTGCCTGTATAAATAGTTTTTCTTTTTGCATGCATTAAGTAGGCCTTTAGTTAACCAGGGACTGTTAGTTGTTTTTTTAGTTTTATTAAAATTACGCATTGGGCAATGTTTATCGTAAAGTGTGCAAAATATGTCAACTAAGTTATTGAAGGCCCTATCCACATTTACTTCTATATCATTCCATTCTTGACCTAAAATATCACGTTTGAAATTTGAAATGGCATCTTCTGTTCTTAATCGTTTAAATATGGGATCATGTGATTTCTTCTCATCGTGTAGTTGTCATTATATATGGCAAATACAGGGAGGTGGTCTGTTATATCACACACCATTAATCCACTCTGTGAGGTGCGCTCAATGTTGTTTGTAAAAATTTTGTCGAGAAGTGTTGCGCGGTTGAGAATGATGAGACTACTGTGGCCGTGGTAAGGAGGAGGACAGTAGACTCATACTATACCAGTTTGTGTTCATAAAGGCGCATAATAAAATTATAACCATCTAAATCAAAATTGCCACCTTTTTCTTCCTTAAACCATGTTTCAGACACTGCAACTATACTAAAAGATTGCTCAATATGTTGAAGATATTCCTTAATACTATTAAAGTTTGAGTACATACTCCTAACTGTTAAAATGAATGATTGACAATTTACCATCAGCCTCGATTGCATTATGTTGATCTACTGAATAATATTTACAGTCAAAATTACTATGTGAGAAAAACATATTGTCAGGGTCTATATCATAATAAGGATCATGTTCATTATTGATACTAGTGTTCTCAAATGTGTTTAAAGACCTTATGACGGGTTTGATTTATTTAGAAATACAGTTTTAATACCATTTTATATTAGAAGAGAACTACTAAAGGTTTCAAAATCAGTTGTTGTTTTTTTTGTCTGATCCCCCCCAAATCGAAATAACCCCATAGCAACGCCCTTAGAAACGAAAAAACTTCACAGCCCTTGGTGACGTCAGAACGGGTACGTTTCAATGCTGTAAGTTGTTTACAATTTGGTATTCGTTCTTCTTTCGCGGATATTCAAGATGACAAGGCCGTGTACAGCGAGTCTGAGATAACTACTAGAATGTAACATTTTGTTGTCACTGAGATAGTCCAGTGGTTGTGTCGATGGACTGCCAATCCAGATACTTGGGTTCAAATCCCACCTCGGACATTTTTTCTCGAAACGGCAATTTATGTGTAGTGAGCAATTGTCACCTGTAGAGTGCAGTATTGTGTTGGGCATCAGTGGAGAGAAGAGAGAAAAGGCAGTCCTGTGGCATAGATCCATGATTTTCAATGCATGGGCGTAGCCCGCTATGACGTCACACACAGGTTAGAGCATAGACAGCTTAAATTCATGAAAAACACGTTCTTTTTATAAAATATAGGATTTTTTTTGCCGGAATCTCTTTCAAATTGACATTGTCATGCAATTTTGATATCCACTATTTTTTTTTTAAAAACCCGTCATAAGGTCTTTAATTCCAAGTTGTCATTATTAACACACATATGGTGTAATTCCATGTCTCTTACAGCAATAGAATTGTGATTTGTCATGTGTTGAATTAGATTACGTAATACGTGTTACCCATTTGCGAAATCATTCATATTTACTCAGCTCCTCCATGCTTCTAATGACCAAAACTCTGGCTGCCTCTGGTGATCCATTAAGTTTAATAAACACTTTGCAGTTGCTCACCCATGTGTTTTGGATTTTGCTCTGCTTCCTCAGGAATCTAGCTTTACGTGCAATGTCCGCGTTTTTTCGGGTTAAGTGATCATTGAGGAAAACATTGCTTCCCTTCAGTTTCCTCCCTTGCTTCAGCAGAGCAATCTTATTCTTCCTGTTGGTGAATCTCATGATGACAGCAGTCGTGTCGTTGTCCTTTCTGTGTAGAGGGTGACAGGCCTCAATATTCTCCAAGTCCAGTGATATGTCTTTGGACGCAAGAAAGGCTGCCACCTGCTGTTCCACTGAGCGCATCTCTGACTCCTCGGGCTCGGCTCCACTTCCAGCGGTCACTGCCTTGGCATATGACCGGGGCCTGATCTTTAACCCGGTCACGACAATATCGTTGATCCTAGAGTACTGCTCCAGATCCTCTACCCTCTTCTCCAGGTCTGTGATCTTCCTGTCCTTCTCTGCATTCAATAAGCGCAGCTGCTTCACTTCCTCCACTAAGTGTAGAAGTTGTTTCTGCTGGCTCCTTATTGCAGTAGTCTCCGCAGTGATAAAGTCCAACGACCTTTTAATTTCCCCAACATCCTCAGCAGATGATGACGCGCTTGTATCACTTTGCTGGCTCCTCATTGCAGTGACTTTAGCAGACAAGGAGTCGAGTGATTTTCGCAGTTCCTCCACTTCCTCAGTAGCGTAAATTTTCTTCGGCGGCATCGTTCCAGATTTTGTCTTCCAAGCTTATGCCAATATGATCTGAAGAATGCGTAAAGCTGTCGTACTTTCCCAGTCCGCGGTGTTTTTGGGCTCGTTGTACTTTGATATTTGAATGTTAATTTTGACGTGTGTTTCTGTCTGCACACATAATCCATGATTATGGATATAGGTTCAGTATATAAATGATTATGGATATAGGTTCAGTATATAAATGATTATGGATATAGGTTCAGTATATAAATGATTATGGATATAGGTTCAGTATATAAATGATTATGGATATAGGTTCAGTATATAAATGATTATGGATATAGGTTCAGTATATAAATGATTATGGATATAGGTTCAGTATATAAATGATTATGGATATAGGTTCAGTATATAAATGATTATGGATATAGGTTCAGCACGGATGTTCAGAATTCTTTGTTCAGTTTTCATGTAGTTCCAGAGCCTAATAGAGGCTTGATTCAGAGGTTCCGTGAAAACAAACAACTGAGCATGAGCAGCTGCGAGCATCAGCGCTGATGATTGACAGCCCTTGGCATCACTCGATTGGTTAACCTCGACGGCACCGTGGATTCTGAGCTATAGCTAAGAGCAGGGAAGGCGGGACTTTCCCGAAATATTAGAATTAATAAAATGACTTATTTTATATCAACATTTAAGCCAAGAGGTCAATTTAACACATTTCCTAAAATTTGTAATTAGTTTAGAGTTCCAGACTATCACTTTAAGGTTTTGAAAACAATGGTAACGGTGCATCCCTACTTCATAACGTTGTCCCCCTGCCCTTTATAAACTTCGCTGCCCGCCTGTTGCAAAAGGAGCATTTAGATAGAAGAGGTTGGACACGCGTTTGTGACTGATCAGCATGGATGGAGCTAACACGACTCCATTATTATTATTAGTATTATTAGTATTTGATGAGGAACAATGTTGTAACAATGACTGTGCGTAATGTGTGTCCTGTAAAAGGCATGTTTGACACTGGTCCTGAGGGCGGGGAGGCCTGCAGTGTTGCTTTAATCCTGCTGAATACCAAGAGCTCAGAGCCACACTCGGATCCCAGTCCCCGTCGTCAGCCTCAGCCTCAGCAAACACCCGCACTCTAATAGGATTAGCCGCGGCCAGATTGAAGTGTCAGCTCTGAGCATAAGCCGCCATCGCCCAAAACCCGAGGACCGCAAAGACAGGACTGAGTTTGGAGTAAAAACATGAAAACGAGAAGTGGGAACAAAACCAATCCTGCTTTTCACACTTTTGATTTGGTTTAAAACGGTGATGGGCGGATCCAAAACAGAACATGGGGAGATCACTGGAAGTCATGCAAAACAAAATGTTGTACTTTCTGTAAAATCTTGGTAAGATTTGTTTGCTAAATATAACATCAATTAGGCTTAGTTTTTTGTTTGGCTTGAATACAGTTTTTAATAGTTTTCAATACTTCATAATCTTGAGTAATAAAAAGTCTGAGCAGTGAGTTTTTAAGCTTGTTTTTAGTCTTTTTTCTTATTTTCAGACAACTTATATTATTGTTTAGATAAAATGCATTTGTGATGCAATTTTTTTATAAAACATTTCTTGAACATGTTTCATAAATAGGCACAGAATACTTGAAATGTATGTTTTTATACTAGAATCAAATCATTTGGGGCTGGTATTATTATAATATTTGCAGAAATCTTGTAAAGTAATTTTGTTATGTTCTATCGCAGGTCATTTTTATAATTTTAAACAGTATTTTACTTATTTTCATATATTTTTTTCTAGTCCATCCATCCATCCATTTTCTTCCCCTTAATCCATTCCTGGGTCGGGGGGGGGGGGTGGCCAGAGATGCCACCCAGTACAAATTTTTTTTATTTGGATGAGACAGTGTGTATTGATGAACAGCAGTAACTTTTGTAGCTAAACTCTATCTGTTGTCCCACAGTCGTATACAGTCCCCTCTTATTTTGACCCGTCTTCCCCGTGGTGAAAAACAAAACGAGTCAAATTACACCTCGGGTAGACGCACCATTTCTACCCGGGTAAAAAATAAAAAATCTCCACAATGAAAAGGCCTGAAGGCGGCATGGACAGAGCTGTTTTCTTCCTACTTCTACCACATAAAGAATGCATCATAAATGTTTTCACCTGTCCTGCGGCTCAGCACCTCCACCACAGAGGGGGGGAAGAAGCCCACTCGGTCTGTCCCACGCTGAGGGTCATGGATGTGGCCTTTCCAGCGGCCGTCCGAGGGCTGCTCCAGGACCTGGCAACACAAGCGCCACACATGCCAATCACAATGATCACTGCACTAAACCATAGTTGTAATGCACACTCAATACACACAAAGATCAAGAACTTCAGACACAAACACTTCTCTTGCTCCTTCAATAAATTCTCCTTTCTCAAACATAGAATAATAATAATAACGGATGTAGTCAGGTCTATCTCCGTCGTTGAAACGATCGTGCCACCACTTTTACCTTCTATGGGCTTTTTCAAAATGGCCGTAGGGCAGGAAAATGTGAAAAAACGCAATTGTGTATGCGTTAGGCAAGGCAAGGCAATTTTATTTATATAGCACAATTCATACACAAGGCAATTCAAAGTGCTGAACAAAACAAGAAAGCATTAAAATCATAAATTATCACAGAACATTAAAAAGAAAGATAAAAATATAAAATCCCTCAGTTGTATGCACAGTTAAACAGAACTGTCTTTAACCTGGTTTTAAACATTGTCAGAGAGGAGGCCTGTCTCACATCTTCAGGAAGACTGTTCCAGATTTTAGCTGCATGAATCTGAAAAGCAGCCTCCCCATGTTTAGTTCTGACTCTGGGCACTAACAGGAGTCCAGTCCCTGTGCTCCTCAGAGTCCGGGCTGGTTCATATGGGACTAACATGTCACTAATATATTTTGGTGCGAGGCTATGGAGAGACTTGTACACAAGCAGAGCTGTTTTAAAGTCTATTCTCTGAGCCACAGGAAGCCAGTGCAGAGACCTGAGAACTGGACTAATGTGGTCGTACTTCCTGGTTCTAGTCAGGACTCGAGCTGCTGCATTTTGAATGTACTGCAGCTGTTTTACAGCCTGTTTGGACAGACCTGTGAGCAGGCCATTGCAGTAGTCTAACCTACTGGAGACAAATGCATGGATAAGAATCTCCAGGTCTGCTTTAGACACTATGTTTTTGATCCTGGCAATGTTTTTTAGATGGTAAAAAGCTGCTGATGTTACTGATTTGATGTGGCTATTAAAATTTAAGTCTGAGTCCAGTATTACCCCTAGATTTCTGACCTTGTTTGAAGGTTTTAGGGAGAGAGACTGTAGGTGACAGATGACGCTCTCTCTTTGTTTCTGGGGACCAAAGACAATCATTTCAGTTTTGTCTGCGTTTAGCTGAAGGAAGTTGTTTTGCATCCACTCACTGATCTGTTGGATACAGTGAAGGAGTGAGTCCACTGGTCCATGTTCTCCTGCAGTCAGTGAGACATAGATCTGAGTGTCGTCTGCATAGTTATGATAGGAAACTTTGTTTCTGCATATTAACTGACCTAACGGCAGCATGTAGAGATTGAACAGAAGAGGTCCCAGGATCGACCCCTGTGGGACTCCACAGGTCAGGGCCATATGATCTGAGACACAGTTTCAAATCTCCACAAAGTACTTCCTGTCTTCAAGGTAAGACCTAAACCAACTTAGGGCGGTGCCAGTGACGCCAACCCAGTCCTCTAGTCCAGGGTTTCTCAAACTGGGGTACGCGTACCCCTAGTGGTACGCGGGCGCCCTCTAGGGGTACGCCAAAGAATCTGTGAAAAAAAAAAAAATCTGTGAAAAAAAAATATTTTTTTTTTTTTTTTTTTTTTTAATTTTACCAGGAAAGTCCCATTGAGATTAACTCATTGACAGCCATGGATGTCATTTGAGGACAACATTGTTTTTCAATCTTTTCCTGTCAGTCTGTGTCCCCTGTATCATACAGTCTGGGGTTTGGCTGTAGACAGTATTTTATTAGGCCAGCAGGTGGCAGCAGAACTCCCTGCTTTGGTCAAAGATCACTCTGAGCACTCTGAGCAGGAGAGACAGAGGTGAAGCAGACATGGAGTAATATAGTCAGGGTCAGGCTACATTTGGAGGCCGTTTGAGCAGTAAATGTGTCTCCAGAGCTGACAGAGACCATGTGGAGGGTCCTAGCAGCAGACCATGTGGAGGGTCAGGACAGCAGACCAGTGGAGCGCCTCAAAAAAGCCACAGAAAAGTGGACTATTGCTAAAATTATCACTGAGTCCACACCAGGAGCCAGCAGCAAAGTCCAGATATGGTCACAGCGCACGCCGGACTAAACAGACGCTCTGTAGATGTAACCACACAAAAACACACAAACGCGTGCATAAACGCACATACATGCACGCCCAAACACACAAAGACACACAGCAGTATTCTGTTGCACTTATACTATAAGTATAAGTATTCACTTTGATTTATTGTCATGTATAGTGTTTATCATTGTAATTTTGTTATTCTTTGATTTACTCTTATTGACATAAATATAGTGCCACCTAATGGATGAATACTGGCCATTCTATCTGGCATAGTTTGTCATGGGCTCTACTTTCAATATGTACATTTTGACATTTTTTGGATGAGTACATTTGGAAATTTTTGAGTAACACTTTGTGGATGTGTGTGTGCCATAAAACTTATTATTTTACATTAAAAACATTTTCTCAAAACGTGTTGCTGTTTTCTAACATGTAAGATCCTGGACATGTTTGAGGAGATGCTAAAGTTAAACTAAATAGTTTTACAATCACTTTTCTGCAGTTCGTCTGTTTTCACAAAAACCTCATTTTCTAATTTTTTTGTCTAAGACTGGTGCTTTTTGTCACACTCTCCTCTTTTTGACTGGAGATCACAGGAGAACGAAACAAACTAAGAACAAACTTATTTTTGCTGCTGAAAGTAGACAGTCCTGTCTTTCAGACTCTGGTTTCATATTTTTCATAGCACACAATATTCTGAGTCTTAAAAATCAGTGAAGTCATCAAAAAATGGCTGGCAGTCAATGAGAACCTCTTTTTCGTGTACAAAAATTACATAAAATTACAGATGATAAAACAGTCACATACAGATGATAAAATAGTCACATACAGATTATACAACAGTAACACACAATTTCATAAAATTACGGATTATAAAAACAGTTACATTTCACTGAAGATGTCTCAATCTGGATCTAAAAGCATTCAAGGAAATAAGATCAGATCATTTCTAGTCTTTTTGCAACACGTTCCATGTAGAAGGAGCAGTTTTTTTTCCCCAGTTCTGTGCAAAAGGAACAGAGAGCAACAAACGATCATTTGATCCAAACCATGAGAACATGTCTCTGTGAGTAAACGACAGTTGTAAGAGGGCAGCAGAGCAAGCCTTAGAAACTAAAGTGCACCAGAGTCCAAACCTTCTGTGGACAAAGATCCCACTCCAGAATATCACTCACAGTGAGGCTTTGCAGTTCGCAATGAATGAAACATTTAAAACAATTTTTTTTCCTATATTTAAGCGCAGTCTTACTGTTGAAACTGTGTAAAATATTACATTAAATATACTTCTTTAGGAATGAAACCTCTGCCTTGTTTTTGATGAATACTTCGGCTTACTACGCTACTGTGTGGTGTGGTCATTTGTGGTGGTACTTGGAGAGGCAAGTATTTTCTGAGGGGGTACTTGGTGTGAAAAGTTTGAGAACCACTGCTCTAGTCTCTGTAAGAGGATCTCATGGTCGACGGTGTCAAAGGCAGCACTTAGATCTAACAAGATTAAGATTGAGACTTTGCCTGCGTCAGTGTTCAGCCGGATATCGTTTGTAACCTTAACGAGAGCAGTCTCAGTGCTGTGGTGGGGTCTAAAGCCGGACTGAAACATATCAAATGAGTTGTTGATTATAAGAAATCCAGTAAGCTGTAGGTAGACAACTTTCTCAAGGACTTTCCCCATAAATGGCAGATTTGAGATGGGACGATAGTTGTTAAGTACCGTAGCATCGAGACTGCTCTTTTTTAGCAGGGGCCTGATGACTGCAGTTTTCAGGGCCTTTGGGAATATTCCAGAATGAAGGGACATGTTTACTATCTGTGTGAGTGAAGGTAACAGACTGCTCAGAACAGACTTCAGAAATCTAGTGGGTAGTACATCCAAGCTGCATGTGGAGGAGCTCAGACTGGAGATTATCTCTTGGACAGTTTTATCATTTACAGGTGCAAAGTGAGTTAGCTCAGAGAGCCTTTCTGGCTGTTGGATGTTATCTGTGGATTGGAGACAATGGCGTTTTTGATGCCTTGAACCTTGTCATTGAAAAAATGTGCAAACTCATTGCATTTACGTTTGGAAGTTAGCTCTAATGCCATTTGAACAGGGGGGTTTGTTAATCTATTAACTGTTGAAAACAGAACACGCAGATTGTTGCTGCAGCCTTCAATCATTTCAGATAAATACCTTTTTCTCGTACTACGTAGCACCCGGTTAAACTCGCACAACTTATCTTTGAAGATCTCGTAATCTACCTGGAGGTTGGACTTGCGCCACTTCCGCTCGGCCCTCCGGCACATTCTCTTTTGTGCCCTGACCGAGTCTGCTTTAGCCCACGGCGCCTTCTGCTTATTTTTCACTATTTTGACCTTCACAGGGGCAACGGTATCCAGAAAATTCAAAACACTAGAGGTGACAGAGTTAAACAGTTCATCTACAGTAGAATACGATGCATTCTCAAAGTTTATCATTTCCATAAATAGTTCACTTGTATTTTCATTTATGCGCCTTCTTCGAACAGTTGCAGAGTCCACTGGTGGTTTGTTAGTGAAACACATGTCAAAAAAAACACAGAAATGATCCGAAAGAGCAACATCGACCACGTTTACATTTGAAATAATCACCCCCTTTGTAACTAACAGATCTAGAGTGTGCCCTCTGCTGTGGGTGGGGCCACTTACGTGCTGAGTGAGATCAAAGGATTCAAGTACAGAACTCAGCTCATTTGCATTTCTGTCATCAACATTATCCACATGAATATTAAAATCACCTGTAATAACCAAACTATCAAAATCTGTGCATACAACTGAAAGCAACTCGGTAAAATTATCAATAAAACTGTGACATGACGGCGGTGGCTTGTATAGGACAACGAAGAGTATTGGAGGAGATTGTTTTTGTTGTATTTTAAAAGACACATTCAAATGACGAAAACTTCCCAAGAGACATTCTATGGGAGACAAAGTGGTCTCTAAAAATGGCAGCTAAGCCTCCTCCTTTTTTGTTTTCCCGTATTTCAGATTCAAACTTGAAATTTGGTGGTGATGCTTCTATTAAAACTGCATTTTCTGAATTTTGGTCAAGCCAAGTTTCAGCCATGAACATAAGATCAAGATTATGAGAACAAATAAAGTTATTGATTAAAAAAGACTTGTTACAAAGAGATCTGACATTAAGCGTAGCAAGTTTCAAAGTTTCAGTATCAGCGGTTGCGGTCGGCTGATTATTATACGGAACAAGAATTAGATTTTCCAGATTAGACTGATTAACTCCAGATGTTTTTCTGTAATGTATTCTTTGTGTTATCACTAAGGGAATGGCACAGGTGGCTTCATGACAGGGCCCCAGCCGGGTCTCTCCTCTAACTAGACTGCCAGTGGCTGCGAAGCAGAGACCCTGTGCATCCTAGTGTTTAGAGAAAAGAGGGGAAGGGGAAGGCAGGGGAGGAGGATGGAGAGGTGGGTGGCTTTTGGGTGTTGAACGAGGGGGGCAGGGAGGTGGAGGGGTTTTAGGTGATGGGTTAGGGCCGGGGTGGGCTGAGGCAGAGGTTTTGGATGTTGAACGAGGGGGAAGTGGGGGTGGAATGGTCATGAGGTTAGGGGAGGGACTGGCTGAGGTGGTTTTTGTAGGTGAATTGGAAACCCTAGGTGGTTTTGGGGGGACATATGGGGAGTGGTTTAGCATGTTGGACAGGACTCTAGATCGAGCTAATATGGGTGTGAGAGGAATAGTTTTCATCGCCGATTTTATTAGCCCTGCAGAGTGTTCAGGTAGGTCTAACAGTGAAGGCGGGGATGAAAAACAAAGGGAGGTG